ACACAGAATCCAGGCGTCTTTCTCAACCATTTCCCGCCTTTTTCCTTCCTTCCTTCCTTCCTTCCTTCCTTCCTTCCTTCCTTTCGACAGTGTTTCACCTGTTTCACCCTGAACCTGGAGTTGGTGTTTTGGGTAGGCTAGCTGGTCAGCGAGGTGCAGAGACCAAGCTGTCCCTTAGCTTCCCAGATTCACTACTACACCCTGCTTTTTCTGTGGGTGCTGGGGACCCCCACCTTAGAGCCTAATGCTTTCAGAGCACTGTCAGGGGCCAGCCTCGACACAAATACCTTTCTCCAGAGTAGAGGCATGGAAATAGAACTATAGTAAAGAATATGAAGACGCGAACAAAAATAATAAAACACAGAAACATATAGGATAGTATCGGGAAGGAATTTTCCAGTGAGTACTGAAAATTTGCCCGTGTTTAATTTCCAACTGGTTAATATACTGGTGGCCTCAAAAGGTGGGAGTAAAACAAAAGACTGTACTGACACAAATTGAAAGTCACGGGGGGAGGGGGCTGCATTCATCATTCTCACTTCTTTTTTTTTGTTTGTTTGTTTGATTTTTTTTTTTTTTGAGACAGGGTTTCTCTGTGGTTTTGGAGCCTGTCCTGGAACTAGCTCTGTAGACCAGGCTGGTCTTAAACTCACAGAGATCCGCCTGCCTCTGTCTCCCAAGTGCTGGGATTAAAGGTGTGCGCCCTCCCAGCTCGCCCAGCCTTTGTTTGATTTTTTGAGACAGGCTTACTCTGTAGCTTTGGGTCCTGTCCAGGAACTAGCTCCAGTAGACCAGGCTGGCTTTGAACTCACAGAAATCCAAGATCTGCCTGGCTCTGCCTCCAGAGTGCAGGGATTAAAGGCATTCGCCACTATTGCTTGGCTTCACCATTCTCACTTCTTAGACTCACGCTCCAGACCAAACAATCTGTAGGCAAAGCACTCCCTGGGTATAATCCCAAATTACTTTCATAAAGGGAATTGGAACTGAGTTGGATCCTTAGACTTTTGTTTTAGGTGGTAACCAACTTCTTCCCTATTTCAGGAGGACAAGGGCTGGCAACTAGCCACACCTGTTAGCCATAGCCTTGCGAGATCAAACTCTCTGGTTTACAACTAGGTGGAACCTTTGTCTAACATAGAAGCACAAGAACCTTGAATGAGAATGACCTAGAAATAAGCCCCGAACTTTGACCTTTGGCTTCTTTGGGCCTCCACAGAGCAGGCCTTTACCTGACTGAACCATTTCCACAGTCACAGTACAATTTTGTGTAGTTGAATTTATTAATATATTTTTATAACTTTTGGGTTTCATGTTGCATCTAGAAAAGTCTCTCACTAGTTAAAATTATTTTTAAAAACTCTTGTTTTCCTTAAAAAGGTATTTTGTATCTTTGAATGTATAAAATTCTGGAATTTATTATGGCATAAAGTTGTGAGATAGAGATACAGCTTGGTTTGTCCAACTGCATTTTCTGTATTGTTTCTTGAATATTGCTTTTATAATCCCAAACATCTTTTTTTTAAAATTTTTCTGATTGTTTTTTTTAAAAGATTTATTTATTTATTATGTACACAGTGTTCAGCCTCCATGTATGCCTGAAGGTCAGAAGAGGGCGCCAGGTCTCATTACAGATGGTTGTGAGCCACCACGTGGGTTGCTGGGAATTGAACTCAGGACCTTCAGAAAAGCAGTCAGTGCTCTTAACCACTGAGCCATCTCTCCAGCCCTCAATCCCAAACATCTTTGAATCTTATGTGTATGGGTGTTTTATCTTCATGTATGTCTGTGCACCCCACGCATGCCTGGTGGTCTGAAGAGGCCAGAAGGTGTCAGGTCTACAGAACTGAAGTTACAGATGGTTGTGAGCCACCATGTGGGTGCTAGGAATCAAGCCCAGGTCTCAAGAGATAGCAAGTGCTCTTAATAGCTGGACCACCTCTCCAGCCCTCTCTTTAAGCTTCTTTTCCCCCATTGATCTACACTATTTTAATACCACACTATTTTAAGAATTGATACATGCTATGTATTTTTGACATAGTTTTAAAAATTGATGCATAGTACATATAGAAGTGACAAATGTACACTTTGTTGGTCCATGACAGGATCTTGTTCAGTATCCAGGCTGGACTTAAACTCAAGGTAATCCTCCAGTCTCACCCTCAAGAGTTCTGAGGCTGCAAGCATGAGTTGCCATACCTGGCCATTAAATATATATCTTGATGAAGTTTAAAAAATGGAATTTTTTTTGTAACAAGCACCAAATCCAAATCAAGAGGCAACATTCCCAGTGCCCCCAAAACCACTCATGATCCCTTCCTGGCATCACTCCCTCAAGAGGGGGTGTCTGGCTTCTTCTGTTCTCATTATTTCAATGAGATTTAGCCTTTTTATATATAAATTTTGTTCATTTTCCTTGCTGTGTCATATTACAATGTGAGAATTTTCCACAACTTACTTTTCCCTTTTATTGCTAATATTGTTTTTAATTGAAATCACCTTTTTTTTTTTTTTTTTGAGACAGCAGGGTTTCTCTGTGTACCAGCCCTGGCTGTCCTGGAACTCACTCTGTAGACCAGGCTGATCTCGAACTCACAGAGATCTGCCTGCCTCTACCTCCCGATAGCGGGGATAAAAGTCGTGTGCCGCCAGCACCGCCCAGCAGAATCACCTACTTTTAGAGCATTGCTGTCTTTATGATAGAGAATCTTCCTGTCCCATTGCTGTATTCTAAAGTTCTCATCGTGAAGAATCTACATGTGTCTTAAGGTTGATTATTCCTAGATATTTGAATGCCTGATATATACTATAGCAGTTTGAATGTATTTTATATATTTTCATGTGTATGTAGCTATGCTCATATGAATTTGGGTAGCTGTGGAGGCCTGAACTGGAGTTACAGGCAGTTGTGAGCCACTGACATGAGTCCTAGGGTCTGAATTCAGCTTCTCTGCAAAAGCAGCAAACACTTTAGGCTGTCTCTCTAGTTTCCCTTTTACATTTTCATTTGATTAAATAATTAAGTGGTTTATTTATAGTGAAGTTGTGTGTACGTGCACACCATGGTGTGACCACGCTGGTCAGAAAGTGTGTTTTCTTGAATGACTGTGTGGCCGTTAGAGAAGAACTTTTGAATGTTCTCCCTCCCGCCATATAGGTCCAGGGGATCAAATCAGGTTTCCGGTTGGCGGCAATCTCCGTCATCTGCTAACTCATCTAGTTAGTTATTTTTTAATTTAAAAAGGTGGAATATTTAAATCCAAGGAACGATGCTCAGCATTGCTATCAAGAGCACATGATTTCTTTACAGGCCTCTCCTCTTGCAGCTCCAGTGCCGGGGAGGGGAGATCAAGAAAAGAAATGAAATAGATGTTAAAAGGAGGGATTAAAAACCAAAATCACAACAAAGGAAGTATTTTTAAAACATATTTTAAAATTTATTTAATAATTGCGTGTGTGTGGTCATGCTCGTGCTAGGGTACGTGTGTTGGGGGTCAACCTGTGGGAGGGAGGGAGCCGGGTCTCTCCTTCCACCTTGTGGGCTCCACGGATTGAACTCAGGTCACATCAGTCGTCACTTGCTGAGCTGTCTCACCAGCCCTGGGAGGATGCCTTAATCAGGGGAATAAAGATTCAGGTGTTATTACTTTTCAAGGGGTTTCTGTCTGACCGTCTGGTAGGGAGTTTGGGGAGCAGAAGGAATACAGGAAATGGCTTCAGACTCTCCCAAGTCACTGACTTTTGGGTCTGTCATCTCCTTTCCCTCAGCTGCATAAGTCAGGTCTGAAGTTGCCAGGTGCTGGATTGGATAGACTGTCAGTTCTTTCCTTTCTAGCTCCTAAAAGGCTGCTCTTTCCTCGAAGGGCTTCTAAACAGGCTTCAGGAGGCTGTAGATACAATGAGCCCAAGCCGGCGCTGCCTGGAAGATTCAGTGGACAGGTGTTTCTACTCAGTAAGCCAAAGCAGAAAACGGGCTTTAGGGCACGGGGGTTGGCTCATCAGTTAAGAGTCTATACTGCTATTCTCGAGCAGTTCCCAGCACCCATTCCGGACCACACACAACCATCTGTAACTCCAGTTGCACGTGCCCACACAGTGACATGAATATAATTTTTAAAAAAGAAGCCAACTTTAGATAGCACGGGATTCTCAGACAAGGTACCTGGTTCCAGAGCTCCAGCGCCCCCTCCCGCCCCCCATGTGAAATGGCCTTTCAACTAAGGCTGTGTTGTGTAAGCCTAATCAGCAGTATCCCCCCCACACCCCGCTACGAGAGTTACAGCTTCCTCCTGAGTCAGTCCAATCGCCACCAGAAACTAGTAATAGCTACCAGGACGCTAGTGCTGTGGTCCTGTCTTTACATCAGATTGATCAGGTGGCCCCAGAGAGTCTCAGTCTTCTCTACCACAGCACTCTAAGGCTTCCATCTTGGTTTCCTTTACAAAGTGGTTTGAAGGAACAGGATTTGTGGGCTGCCATTATTGTTCAGCCTGAGTTGTCTTTCTTAGACCAGGAGTCCCACCTAGAGGTCCCCCCCTAACCCTGAGAGACAAGTACTGGCAGAGGAAGGGGACAGGGACGACCATAGCACCTGCTGTAGCATTTCTGTTACACTGTAACCCTTTTATCTTTGTTTTTAGTGGGTGGGAGTGGGGAGCAAAGGCAGCCTGAGCCCTCACCTTAGCTTGACCCCTGCAAACAGGCTCCCAAGACCCGAGACCTGAACCTGCACTCGTGAGGTCTGGGATGGCTTTGGGTGCCTGAATAACCGGAAACATTTACCATCATAGTTTACACCAGACAGTCTCACGACAAGTCTGTGACTCTAAGCTGAGGGTGTTGTTTTGCAGGATGTTCATCGTTGAACAGGATCCAGAGCAGCAAAGGAAAGGTGGAAGTCAGGACTTAGAGGGACCTATCTTTCAGGGACCTATATGGGGGAGAGCTGAAATGGCCCCAGAGGGCTTTGCTTGTTCTGTTGGTCCTCACAGCCTAGGAACTTTGGTGTTTTTTTTTTTTTTTTTGTTGAGACAGGGTTTCCCTGTAGCTATCAAGCCTGTCGTGGAACTAGCTGGCCTTGAAGTCACAGAGATCTACCTGCTATAGAGAAAGCCTGTCTCAAAAAACAAACAAAACAAAATGAAACAACAACAAAAAAGTCAATCTGGTCTACATATCGAGTTCCAGGCCAGCCAGTAAGACTTTGTCTTGAAAAAGGGTGTATGGTGGGGGAAGAGGGGGAGAGTTGGGAAGGAGACTGGAGAGAGGGCTCAGTGGTTAAGAGCACTCGCTGCTTTACAAAAGGACCTGGGTTTGGTTTTCAGTACCCAGATCTTGGCTCACAAACATTTGTAACTCCAGTTCCAGGGATCTAATGTCCTCTTCTGGCTTCTGTGGGTACCCAGTACACATATGGTGCATATACATGCATGCAGGCACTCATACATCCACATAAAATAAAAAAGATAAATCTCAGAATAGGGGGAGTGGGGAGCAATCCACAGGCATCTCCCAGGTGGCAACCTGATGAGCTGCTGGTAGATGAGAGAGAGAAGGAGGTTGCAGAATTGCTCTTTGGACCGCGAGGGCATGGAGGAGGTTGGGATTTCGGGAATGTCCTTTTCTCCAGCCTTGCTCTATAAACACCTAAACTCTTACAGCCACTTCTGGCGCTCTCAAGTGCTTGTGTGCTTGGGTCCTCTCAGTCCAGCTTTGCTGGCTCAGTGCCGCCAGCTGCGCTCAACGGCCAGGGACAGCTTGACATAGGAATCTTGCAGCAAGTGGTGTCTCCTCCTAGCAAGGGCAACAGCAGCCACTAGAAAGCACATGGTGTTTTGTGAGGTGGCAGGGACTCAGCAAGGAGGAAGGAAACTAAGAACATTGGGTAGATGCTGCAGCCAAGAGAAAAAGGCTCCCTAGGGCTGCATGACTCCATTTGTCAGTCTCTCCTCCCCTTCTCCCTGCCTCCTTTTTCCTCCTCCCTTTCTGATGCTGTCACTGTCTAGAGCTCCCAGCATCTCTGTGCTTTGGGGCTCTGTCCTCGGTTGGAAGCGCACTGTGCGCACTGTGAGCAGTCAGCAATTCTACCTCTCACACCGCTTGCTCTTTGAGGTGACATTTATCCACATTTATCCAGGGACAAGTTCCCACCAGGGCCACACTAAATCCAGCCGAGGGAGCCAAGGCTGATGGGACGCATCCAGGCAGCTGCTGCCCTCTTCCCTCCACTTCTCACTGTGGCTTACAGGGCTCCGTCCTTGCTCCCAGCTGCATTCTGTGTCTGTTGGCCGTTCCCTAGGAGTTTTCTTCAGGCACGCTTGGGATCGGCAACACTAGGAAGTCTGAAGATGTGAAACAGGAGATTGCTGCATAGGGATCCCTTCAAAGGTGGGAGAATCTTGCCTTCTTTTGCTCTAGAGAAATGGGGAAAGGGGAAAGGTAGCAAACCGAGAGCAGCAAGGGGGGCTGACCTCTGCAGGCCTTTGGGCCCCCTCACCCTTTGTGCCAGGCTTGGTTAGGTGGAGCCAGATGACCGCTAACTGAACAGGGAGGGAAGCTGGGAGGGGAAGAAGTAGAGAGAAGTAAATAAAGTCCCAGAGATCATGTCTCGCTGCCACCGTGGTGGCTTTTGACAGTCAGGGAGGTGGCCGAGGCTCCTGCAGGCAGAATGCCAGAAAGTAGTCAGGCCACAGTCCCAGGCATCTGCTGAATCCTTGACTCTACTTCCTTCTTGCACCCAGGGGCGCTGACTGAATTTGGCACTGGGTAGCAGAAAAGAAAGGGAAAATGCCTGCATGGTGAGCAGACTCTAAGCCGTTTGTGGTACTTCCCAGCTCCACTTCTGAGATAATCTCACGGTTGTGTTTAGCAGCTGGTCCTGTAAGTGTGTGAGTGTGTAAGTGTGTGAGTGTGTAAGTGTGTGAGTCTGTGAGTATGTAAGTGTGTGAAGAGCAGACTGGAGCCTTGTGTTCCTTTCCTGCCTGGTGTGGGGGCACCAGGTGGGGGCTGTCTTGGCGATAAGGTGAAGAGGTGACCGTGCTGTCCTCAGCTAGAGCAGTTCTCGGAATGCAGGCCACAGGTGTGGGAGGCTGTGTTGTTTGACAGGAAGCTATGGTTCAAGAGACTTTAGTCTGCCTTTCCCTTTGGCTTCTGAAGTGGACTCGGGGAGTTTTCCGTATGGAAGACAAGATCAGAATAACTTGGCAGTGACCCGGTTACCCCCAGAGTTCTTATCCCCAGAAGGCCGGGGTGCCACAAAATCAAAAGTCACGTGATGCTTGACCCGGCCCTTGCCTTTACTCCAAAGGGCAATCAGACCGAAGCAGAGGGTCACTGAGGTGAGGAAGGGGAGAAAACCCACTGCCAGCACCATAGCCACACCCCTGCTGTCCAGGAAGAAAGGCCCTGGGATCCCTGGCATGGTGATGTTGGGGTCAGAGACAGTGCCATTCGGTGGTTCGACTTGGATAACTTCCAGCCAGGTCCTCAGGGAGTCATTCCCAGCGACATTGCTGACTACACAGACATAGGCTCCCCTGTCCCTCAGCTGCACGGAGCGAATCTCCAGTGTACCATCCTCGAGGACCCTTACTCGCCCGGCCCTTCCCAGCCAAGCTCCCTGAGGCCTCATCCAGGAGACCGTGGGGGCTGGATCTCCATCTCCAGAGCAGGAGAAAGCAGCATAGCCCCCCTCTTCTGCAATGACCCACCGAGGCCCTGACTTTCTAATCAGGGCTGGTTTGCAAGTGAAGTGGCCTGGAGGGAGGATGTCTGAAAACTCCCTTAGGCTTTTCCCTTGGACGTGTTGGGGGCCAGCACAAGCAGGGGAGGACGCGCCAAAGTCCAGGCGGCGCCGGAGGCGGAGCAGCCAGAGGAGGCGGCAATCGCAGGTTAGGGGGTTACCAGAAAGCCTCAGGGTGACCAGTTTGTCTGGAGAAGGAAAGGCTGTTTCCTCTAGGGTCTGAAGAGCGTTGTCTGCTACATCCAGCAAGTGGAAGGCGGTCAGGCCATGGAAGGCATGTGCAGCGATGGAGGTGAGGCAGGCCCCTGACAGCCTGAGCTCCTGGAGCCTGACCAGGGGGCTGAGCCTTCTGGCTGGGATGGCTGAGATAGGATTCTGAGACAGATCCAAGACCCTGAGGAAGCTCAGATGGTGCAGTGCCTGGAAGGGTACTGAGCTCAGATTGCAGCGGGTGATGGCCAGGGTGCTCAGATTGAGCCCAAGCAGGCTCCCTGGGTCCAGGGCCTCCAGAGATGGCCAGTGGTGTATCTCCAGCTCCTTTAGCTGCCCTAGCCCTCGAAGTGCCCCCGCTGGCAGCCTCTCAATATCCAGTTCTCGAAGTCTGAGAGTCACTAGTGCTGGGAGCTGGGCAAGGGCTAGGCCAGGCACCGTGCTGAGGTTGCAGCGTTCCAGGGTGAGGGTACTTAGCTTGGCCAGCCCTGCAAAGGCCCCAGGAGCCACAAACACCAGGTGATTGTCTCCTACCTCCAGTTGCTGGAGGCTGCCTAGCTCACCAAAGGCTCCATCTAGGAAGAGCACAATCTGATTGAGGCGGAGGTCCAGCAGTGTGAGTGTAGATAGGCCTGAGAAGATCCCAGGACCCACAATTCTCAGTCGGTTGCCCTGGAGCCTCAGGGTGAGTAGATTTTGTAAGCCATGGAAGGCCCCAGGCTCAAGGGTAGAGAGCTGGTTATAGCTGAGGTCCAGTTCTTGGAGCTGGCCCAGTCGGGAGAGCATGCCCCGCTGAAGCCCCCACAGGCGGTTTCTGCTCAAGTCCAGGAGCTCTGTGTCCAGTGGAAGCCCTCCAGGGACAGCGTCCAGTCGCCTGTGGGCACAGAGTACTGCCCGGGTTTGGGAGGTGCAGTCACACACAGTAGGGCAGCTACTGTTGCTGCCTCCAGGTAGGAGGAGCAGGAAAAGGAGTGGGGGCCACAGAAGCCAGGCTTGCTTCGGAGCAGTGGCTGCGTCCATCCCCCGAGGCCTGGAATAGACGATGACATGGCCTTTTTTGCAAAGAGGCTTCAGAAGACGATGACCCTGCCCTTCCCTGAGCCTCCTTAAGGGGAGAAAAAGTGGCCTGTTGACTCCATCTTGCCAGCAAGTGTGTCACACAACCAGGGAAACCTGGGAAACCTGTACTGCCTCCCTGGCGCTTCTTAAGGTCCCTCCTATGGGGAAATGTCTCCCTTGCAGCCCTGGATAACCAGGCATGAACTTCCCATGCATGGGTCCCTAGTCCAGCTGGTTTCTGTGGTGGAAGGCTTAAGGGACTGAGTAGTAGGGAAAGAACTTTCCCTGCATCTCCTTTATATTCATGAGACCAGGAATACCTTAGGTCCTGTTGCTGTGACATCTGTTCTCAGCAATCAGAACTCTGTTCTGTTCCTCTCATCCCCACCCACCCCTTTTGGCTTGTTTGTTTGTTTTTGAGACAGGGTTTCTCTGTGTCACAGCTCGGGCTGTCCCGGATCTCAGTTTGTACACCAGTCTGGCCTTGAATTCTCAGAGGTCCCCGGACTCTGCACTGGGGTTAAAGGTGTGTGTCTCATTCTTGTTCTCCTGTATTTTGTGCATACAACTTTACCTAAGTCTCAGAGAGATCCATCCAGACCAGAAAGAGGTCCTCACCTTGACAGTCATCAGAAGCAAAGGGACATACATACAAGTTTCAGCTCTGCTCCAGTCTCTGCCCTCTTCCAGCCTGGCCCCCGGGCCCAGGCTCTGGACTAGTCAAGCTGGTGTACCCAGAATGTGTGTGGATGGCAAGCCCGGCTGTGTATTAGTTACGGAACAGAGTGCAGCAGCACTGGACAATGAGATTGGGGATCCCTTATAAGAGCACCTCTTCCTTCATAGAGGGATTGGGATGTGGAAACTATCCAAAGGATACTGAGGTTTTGCTTTGGGCTTCTCTTCTGTCCTCCCTCACTGGGGTTTTGAATCTGTGCCTCTGCAGGAGAGCTTAGACCTCTTTCTGCCTGAGCTGCCTGACAAGACACTAGAAATGTGATCCAAGGAAGCATGGAGAAAGAGGGAGAGACAGCAATGACCAGGTGCCATGGGTGGGAGGAAGGGAACCACTGGCTAGCATAGCAGACACCTGGATATAAGCAATGCACAGCACCCATCTGTATACAGTGGGTCTCTGGGTATCAGAAGCCTGGGCAGTATCGGCAGGTGGTGACCATGATGACAAAGGCATCTTAAATGCTGAGTGCTTCTGCTTGCCTTGCTGATGCACAGGGACCTCAGAGAGAGGAATATTAGAGTTAGAAAGACACGGCCAAGGGACAGAAGTGGGACAAGCCGACATTCCTGCAGGCCGCCTGCTGTGTTCCCCTGGCTGCAGGTCCTGCACCTCCGGACTTTGGGGTTTCAGGTTCTCTGGGTCCTGTGGAGTCAGCTTTCTGCTGCATGTCCTACTTTCTTCCATGTGGAACACAGGAGGAGCTGTGGCTTCCCTTTCCTTCCTACACTCTGGAGAGTCTCCTCCAGCCACTTCAGAGGATCATAGCAACTGGGCAATGCCAAGTTCAATCCTCAGTATGGAGGCTAGCGGAAAGAGCAGGGGATGAGGGGTGCGGGAAACTGTTGTGGGGTGATTTGTGGAGGGGAAAGACTGGCAAGGGGCAAGGACTGCTAAATCTGCTCCCGACCCTTTCACAGTTATCTCTGGCCTCTCCTCTTCCTGGGCCTGTTCTGGGAAGTCCACCTTGTCATTTCTGTTGCTGCAGTTCCTGCTCATCCTTTGCTCTGCATTCAGCAAAAGTGCAGTGGAGCATGTGTGCCAGCTCCCTTCCTTCCTGCTTCCATGCATCGCCTCCTGGTCCCCTAAGCCTGCTGGCCCAGTGGCTGGGGGCTTCTGGCCAACACCATCTATTTATAAGGTGGCTAACTGAACCATAGTCTCCCTTTCTTATCCTCTGTGGCTGCAGGACTGGCCTCTGGTCTCTCCCTCTGGAGTCTGGGGCATTGTTCCTTCAGGGACACAGAGCTTGTCTCTTGTCTCTTATGTGACCGTCACAGACCCATATGGACACATATCCACTTTAAAGTACACCTGACTGAGGCGTAGGGACCTGCATGGAGAGGGTCACTTAGGAGGAACACCCACACTGACTGTAGGGGGAAAACCCTTTGTAGGGGTAGAAGGAACACTAGGGAGAAGGAGGGGTGGTCTCCTTGGAGTCCTCCCCAACAGGGTTGCCTGGGACGTTTTAGTTTTCCAATCACAGTCCTGTGGGGCTGAATGGTTGGCTGGGGGTGAGGGGTGCAAGCTCCCTTTCCTTTACAGGCATAGTTAGCCTGGCCTTGTCTTTGGGAATGCCTTGGGAAAGGGCAGCTGAGACTTCCGCAAAGAGGGCAGGGGCACTTACCGGAGAAGCTGGAGGGTGGCACCAAGTTGGGCGCTGTATCTCTCCGAGGCTGGGGCTTGTCCCATCCGAGCTGCACCTTGGCCCCTCCAGCTCCCCTGTGCGTATGACTCCCCACTCCCCAGCAGCCTGCAGCATCAGCCCGCTGGCGGGACTGCTGTGGCTGCTGCCGCCGCCTCTACTGTTACTGCGGCCGCGCCGCCAAGACCAAGAGAGAGAAAGGAGCCAGAAAGCATTTCTTCTCTTTCTCTTTCTGTCTCTCGCTCTCTGTCTCTCTCTCTAGTCTCTCTCTCCTCTTCTCTCGTTTTAAACCAGGCGAGAATGAGTCTGCAGCAACCCGGTTGGTGCAAAATAAATAAATAAAGCGACCAGGGAGGGCTGCAGCAAGCGCCACTACGGGATGACGGAATGGGGTGGCGGGGAGGGAGGGGGGAGAGGAAATGAAGAGGGGACTCTGGGGATGGGGCAGGGTCTGCCACTGAGACTTCCTGGGAAGCTTGAAAGAGTTCTGACATCCTGATTCCTCCTGGGGAGCTAGAGAGCTCCCGGGTCGCCGCTTCTACAGTTTCTAGTCTCTTAGATGCAGGGCAATTCTGTGCAATCTCTATATCTAAACGGGCCTGTGGGTATCGTTTGTCGGAAGTTCTCAGTCCAGAATATTTTCCTGCAGCTTAGTTTGTCATTCCTCCAGTGCTGGGTACCTGAGCATCAGTTTCCAAGTCTCCCGGAGGGACTGCTTGGTTTGGGGAAGAATCTGGGGGGCTAAAATTCCTATAAAACAGATGGATTACCGACTTGACAGGGCAACAAGACTTCAGAGCAAGCATACATCCTGAGTAGTCGCATTTAGGTCTCCCACCACCCAACTCACGTGCCCTGCACCTTTGTACACACACACACACACACACACACACACACACACACACACACACACACAAATTCCAGCCTTTAAAATCATTTTATAAAGAATGCATAAGTAGGGTTTTATGCTTATCTAGCCAAACCCTTCCCTGAGAGGAAAAAAAAAAATCTCCCTCCCTCTCTGCTGCTGCTTCCACCTCCTAGGAGAGTCAGCAGCTTTACAAAGCTGAGAGAACTTCTGAGCAAGATTATGGAAGAGAAACAGGTCCCTGCCCTGTTCCTAGTCATTCCCCCATGCTGGACTCAGTGGCCCACAGGCACAGAGCAGGGGCGGCATTGCCCTCTTTCCTCATAGAGAGAGCGGGATAGAGGCTGAGGGCAGGGCATCCTCCCAGTGCCAGCAGGTCCGTGGGTGTCTCTGGCTGATCAGCGTCCAGTCTTCTGCTTCTCTTAGGGATAGCTCTTGGGACAGAAGACAGTTGGAGCTGGGAAAGTATGCTCTGATATCCTGTAGACCTAAGACCCCTCGCCTCCAGGCCTCTCTGAGCTGTGACCTCAAGGGAGAGATTGTACCATTGGAAAAGTGTCTACAAAGGTGTGTCACTGCAGGCAGAGTCGCTCTGTGCTCCATCTGTGTGTGTGGATGTCTCTCTGGTTAGAGTGTGCTAACAAAGCTGGCTTTCAAAGTGCACACAGAGGTTCGCATTCTAATTCTGTCAATGATACTCTCGGCTTCCACTGTCCCCTCTCTCCACACCCGTTATCCTGGCCCCTCATTTCTACCCCATCATTACTCTTTACATATCCAGGTCCCAGAAAAAGGCAGGGTGGCGAATGACTTCTTTACTGGACTAAGAAGGAGGAAGGCAGAAAAATCTCAAGGATCTGGATACTTGTTATATACACGTCTTTCTGGCTGCTTGCCACCACTAGTCTGAGCTAGATCCATCTCCCCCAGCTGGAGTCCAAGGGGAAGTACAATGAGGTATTCAAAGGACTGTGTTAGCTTTCAAACTCAGAATTGAGTTCTCTTCATCCTGGGTATCTTGATTTATCCCCCTGTTCCTTTGACTTGGTCATCCTACAGGCCTTTATGTCCCATCTACCCCACACCTTCTGGAAGCCAGGGTGGAACTTATGGGAAATCAAACATAACAAGCCTTTTCATGGTCACCTGCTACTGTTTTTCTGCCAGGCAAGCCTGGAGGCTTAGCATTTGCTCACTCCTAGGGAGACCACCCCCCATAGAGCGCGAGAAGGGGGAAGCTGAGGGAACAGAGTCCAGGGAGACAGGGCCATCCATCAGCTGAAGGAAGCAGACAGTTGTCTGTCCTGGGGTCTCTTGGTTAGCCCCTCGGGGGCTCAAAGTCAGCGCTGAAGAGCTCCTTGTAGAGAGGAGGGAAGGCAGCTTGGACTACGATGGGGTGGAGGCGCTGGAAGAGCTGCAGCTTCTCCACATGCTGGCTGCACAGGCTCCGGAGTTTCCCTTTGGGTGGCAGCTGGAGATGGGTTAGGAGGGATTGAGAGTCAGGGTTTGCCAGAGCAAAAATGTCTTCCTGCTGTTGTTGAACTGGGATACCCCTCCCTTATGCTCCCTCCACCCCCAGCAGCTGGTCCCACTGGTTAGATGTACGTGCATCTGGATTCGGTTTTGAAAGTCACATCTGCACCCTCAGCACTGTGCCTGGCTTAGCAAGGCCATGCTTGGCTGATGGCATACATGGCTCTGCCTACCCCCAAACTGACTTTACCGGCTCTTTGCCTTGGTTCATATTATTTCTTTCCTTTCTTTTCTTTCTTTCTCTCTCTCTCTCTTTTTTTTTTTTTTTT